CAATAACTCCCAGACATTCTCCATCATTTGTATATGAAGATGGCAATAATAATTTACTTCAGCAGAATCTTGCATATATGTGTTCACAAATGATTGGTTGTAGGATTGTGGCCATTAGTTCTATTCCAGTTCATTCTTCAAAAACAAGGTAGATTGCATGTGATGATTACTTAGGCATTGGGCCTTCTACATACGTTTTGATTCAAATCAGATATGGAAAAACTCATTCTTCAGGTACAAGGGAACACAACTATCTCCTCATATTTCCCATTTAAAAAGCCCAATTACATTTCTATTTACCATTTGGACATCCTACTGCCAATGACTGTGGTTCACGGTGATGATCACAAGGCAATTTTGTGAGAACAATGCACATAGTCACAGTTGCAACAATCCCATCTCTGGAGGCTGGTGGAAACTTCTAAAGGCCTCGCTTAAAAAAAAATTATCAAGGACACTTTACATTGATTGTGGACCATGGACTGTAATTTCCTATCCCTCTTTGAACAAACATGAAGACAGGTTTTAATGTTTGGTCTGTCTTTACATATATCTTCGCTGTATAAGTTAAGATGCAAATGTTGCTTCCTGTTTCTTTTTAGTTTACACTGAAAAGACAACTTAAGATTCCCCTTATATATTTTGCACACCTCTGCTGTTTGGAAAGCAGTTGTTTGTTAGTTTGACATGTAATTGTAAAAACAAAATAAAACACCAAATAAATTTTAAAACAGCAATGTCAGGCTCCAGCTGTTCAATAATTAGCATTTGGCTCAGTATTTGTTTTTAAAGACCTACATTAAAATATGAACCATCTGACATTCTGCCCATGATGAGATATTACCAGTGAACCTTTTTTAAACCTTCACCCTCCAAGGAACACTTGAGTGCATTGTGGAATTCCAGTCTACTGAGGATAAGATTGTAGGGTTAACATTGTGGTTAAGGTTAAGTTATATTGTTCTTAATGTGGCCTTCACTGTTTCTTAATTTGATTTTCCCTTTCAAAAATGAATCAAACCAAAGCTTGGGCAAAATTGCCTTACATTCATAAATCCTGATAGCTTTCAAAAAGTTCAAGTATGACCTCTTTTTCTCCCCACATCTCTTCTTGGAAGATGACTTTACTACACAGACTGGCAGTTACCAAAAAGAGACTCTATGTAGGTCTAGGAATCAATGTCCTGGTCAGTCAACCTGTTCTATTTCTGCCAGGATGCAGCAGGTCTAAGTCAAGATCACATGAGCTCCCAGGTATAACATTCACCCTGGGATGATCTGTAATCCCAGAATTCAGGAAAAGCAAGTCTGCAGCCCTTGTAGAACTTGAGATTCAAGTTTGACTTTATAATATTTTGCCCTTTCATTTAGTGAAAAACTAGTCACTTTGGTGGGGACTAGCACTTCAGGCTACTGTCCAGTTGACAGAGCCAGATAATAGGAGCCTTTTCCTTCCGCAGGGTTAAGCCTTTGCTTCAGTGGAGGTCAAAGGCAGGAAAAAAGCACACATTTGTAAGCAAGAACTCCAGAATTACTTCACTTAGCTGATGTAATACCAAAAGGTGACATACTGTTCTAAGTTTACTTTCCCATGTTTTTATCTGATAGCCACTATGAAACAAACTTGACATATCCATGAAGCAAAATTATTTTCTTTCCACTAAATATTGATTTTGCCTCATTTCCCGTCTGTACTTGCAAAAATACACTCATTTTATGCATATTCCTAATACTGAGGTCAATATAAAGTAGCACCTCTAAGTAGGGATTTACACAGCTTCCTCACATTATCCATTTTGATTCCATCCGCACTCGTAATAGAGTGATCCTCATTCAGTGTAAAAACTGTTTCATTCTAGTCTAACAGGGCTCACCGCTCTCCTTCCCTTTGTCTCCCCCTCCTCCTTTTGTTCAAAGGCACTCACCCCAGTACCAGTGAAATCTACCTCTTGGAGAGATAACAGTTCTGCTACTCAGTGAACTACAGCAAGGGCTCGAAATGCATCTTCTGTAGCACACCACAGTGGTTTGCAAAAGTGAGAATAAATCAAACCAGTGAAGAGATGCCATGTTGAGCTGCAAGCAAAACATTGCACTGTGTTGCAGGAGACTAGCTAAGTGCAGGTCATCAAGTGGGGAGAAGGGGGTGGACTCAGCAGTTTGGGACCTTATTTCTTGCAGCTTTCCATATCGGTCCATTAAAACAATAAAAACAATCATTCTGAATCTGCAGGAAATTATCACCTCTTTCTTTCACAGAGCAGCACCTGATATTAGCTTCCGCAGAGCACTCCTCTTCTCTACACGCAAGCTTGGTATCTCTCTCCCTCTTTCTCTCAGTACATATTTAAAATGTGTCAGTTGTCTCTGAGGCTCAGTACAAACACCACGGAAAGGAGGATGTCTCTAGGCACAGTGGCATAGGTTCATTCATCACTTCCCCTATGGCTCCACTCTATGCCCCTCATTAATCACTTCACACAGAGAAAAGAAATATTTTAAAACTGTTTGAAAATAAAGATGCATAGCCTTAACCTCAATAAAATGATGCCTGCCTCTTTGGTAGCAAGTCTTAAGTTCTGTCCCCGAACAGAAGATTATAAACTATATTTGTACCATTTGGGTTTTGGATTTCTTTCAGAAATCCTTATGTGGGTTTTTCTTGCTCTATACACATTATCTTTTCTATCATCTGCCCCCCTTGTGTGTGTGTGTGTGTGTGTGTGTGTGTGTGTGTGTGTGTGTAATGTTGTCATTTGTCTTGTTCATCTCGTGACACATACAGAATGTTTTGTACTTCAGATTTTATTGTTTGGATGATAAACACATTATCTGTTCCCTTTGATCTGTATTTAACACCACAGTACAAATGTAATACACTTCTTTTGTTTACTGTTGAACAAAACTACTGCTGAGTATTAATACACTGGCATTTTCATAGATTTGCTTTTCTTTTCAGAAGCACAAAACTTCACTATGAATCTTATATTCTGTAAACAAAATACAATTGGTTCATCAATAACCCAACTAAGGGGAAATGATGCTAGCAGCGAAAGAAGGAAGAGAGGTAGCAAAGTTAGCAATGAGTTCTGAGGAAAGTGAGAATGCTAGTTGGAATCTGGAAATCAATGCAGTGAATGCATTGAAGGAGGAAGTAGAAGGAGGAAAGGGGAGCAGTATAGGATATAACTGCAAGGCAGAATTAATGTAGTTTGATCTAAATACCTTAGATACTTAAAACTAAGTACCTAAATAGCTAGAGCTAGAGTAGGTCTGTTGTGGAGGGTGCCTAGTAAAATGATGGGATACATGGTATGCTAGATGGACCAGTAGTTGGACACAGATTGAAGCAGTGTTCTGTGATCCTATTCTAAAAGCATCCTTTTTTTGTTCCATTTTAATCTTTTATAAAAATCCTCCAAAAAACAAGACCATTAAATCAAAAAGCTTCCTCGGGGACTGAAGTGCCTTCAACGCCTTGCCACAACCTCCGAGGATATGCTGCCTGAGGCAACTACCTCATCCTGTCTAATGGTGGGCTCAGTGCTTCTGAGACTACAAAATGAGTCAGACAGAGAGAAGAAGAATCCCCATGTCTTATCCCCCACGTCCTATGCCTGCTGGGCTTCCATTAATCCATAGTGAGTAAGAGCTTGGCTGAAGAACATAGATCATCTTGCTAAAGTACTGCATATTTCAGTTTGTTTGTTTTTAATACTGTGCATGATCTAGATATCCTGTTATTTAGATATAAGTAAATGAAGCCCAATAGCAAATTTTCTCTTATTTCCTCTGTAGAACAAATACAGCTCACTGTACATACTTGTTTCCGGTACATATTTGCCATTTTAAGAAGCACAACATTGTTGTGAGACTGTGGAAGATTTGGATAGCAGGCAATTCATGGAAACAGAGGGGAGACCCAGTACTCTCTCCCCTTAAGCAGAGTGAAGCATCTACATGAGGTGGCAGGGAAGAAGGGGTGGTCGAATATGCATACCTGAACCCATTCCTTACCTCTGAGGGAGCCTCAGAAGAAGACACGGTGTGTGGCATGCTGTGAAAAGCCAGTTGTGCTGCTACAGTACAGGCAATTTCACTAGTCTCCTACAGTGCCTGGTTATGAGGAAAAGCCCCATCTGGGGAATTAGTGTCAAAGCCTGTGGGATGCATTACGGGATTGTTTACATATTACAGGAGGATAGCTTGAACAATTTCTCCTGGGAAAATCCATTTTTGCTTCACCTATTGTGAGAACTCCCAGAGGGAATAAGAGAATCTGAGGAGAGTAGCGAATGATGTCATTGTCCTTGCCAAGTCACTGGGGCCTACTTGCTGTAAATGCCACAAGAAAAGATGTGTGTGGCATTCATCTAAAATAATAATAGTATAAATAAAGAATAACCATTTTAATCTTTTGTGCTACTTTCAAAATGTTATTTTGAAAATATGGGTTTCGGCTCTCCTGTTTTATGCACGAGAAATTATTCTCATGCTATCATGTTATATCTAATGTCTTACTAGCCACCATTTCTGCTCAACATGAACATTTGCAAGGAAATTCAAATAGTATAAAATGCCACTAGCTTCCTTCCAAAGGAAATTGAACACAGCAAACCTGGCACAACACATCTCTAGGAGAAATAGGGTGAGTGTAATGGTATCATTTTCATGTCAACTACAACATCAGTGCTTAAAGATGTTTGTTAGCCTACGCAGGTGAAAAATGGAGGTGCAGTCATTCAGACTTCATGGGACTGTTGAACTCAGTAGGATTATTAGTAAGTAAAGAGAGTGGTAAAGTATTACTTTACCTCTAAGCAATGCCAGATTTCATTATCCTGCTAAAGACGTGACTTCTGTTACTAATTACTACATATCAAATATGCTTTAAAATAGTAAAATTCTGCCAAAAATAAAAAATAAAAAAATCAAGAGCTGTAAAAAAGAAGGAAATACTGCAAGCTCTCAGTTGTCAGTAACAATGGTCAAAAAGACATCTAGAAATTTTCTTTGTTGTAGCAAAATTGAACACCTCTTGGATCAGCAGATGAATATCGGTTGCACATTTTATGAAGATTTCGAGAAATAGCTTCAGGTCCACAAAAGAAAACACCGATGCTGTCACTGTCAAAAAATTTAAGATACAAAAAATTCTGTAAGAAAAGGACTTTTTCCCCCTAAAAAAAGAAAAATCTGGGACATTTCATTTTAACCCAATTTCTTATTTTCTAGAATCCAGAGAATTATAAAGTAAATTATGCTGCTTATGTACTGCTCCACAGTGCTTAAAGTGCTTTCTGAGGGGTTTACAATTTAATTATGGAAACTTGCCATGTCCTCTCAGCAAGCTGGGTACTCAGTTTACTGACCTTAGAAGGATGGAAGGTCGAGTCAACCTCAAGCCAGCGATCTGAGCCCAAGATTGAACTCAGGCCATGAGCAGAGTCTTGACTGCACCATGATGATCCTTTATATGCATCTGGATTGTAGCTAGTCCTGAGTCTTGCACAAAATGTGTTATATTGGACAGTGAGATAGAATCCTGCATTACGGCAGAGGCTTTGGATTAGATTCCCTCCCCCCCAAGTGTATCTGATTTCCTTCTCCACCTTTTGAGAAAGGCGTTGAAATGGCTAACACATTTATTTATATATATATATATATAATTTATTTATTTATTTATTTATTTTATTTATTTGATTTATATCCCGCCCATCTGGTATATTTATACCACTCTGAGCGGCTGACAACAGAACATATACAATTAAAACAATATAAATCCACGAGCATCCATTATTGACAATATATAGATGGCGTGATGGACTAGGACTCAGGAGGTTGGGGTTCAAATCCCTGCTCAGCCTTGGGAACTCACTGGGGATATAGAACTGGTAAAACTACTTCTTGAACTTCTCATTTACCTTGAAAGCCCTATTAGGGTTGCTATAAAACAGTTTTCACTTAATGAAACATGGCAAAGAACGAAACAATAAATTCCTGAAACAATCCATAAATATGACAAAATCAGAATAAAGCAACATAACAGGATAGTAGTGATATACCAGCAGCCTTTACATAGGGTGGAAAAGACTTCCACCCATCAAAATAGTAGTGGGGGGAGGAATAAACCAGCCTTCAACAGTCTTTGGGAAGGGGTTAAGTGGCAGGATCCCTAGAGCAGTGGTGGTCCGCTTGCATACCCATGAGCCTACCTAGAGCTTCAGGTTGGTCCCTGAAGCCCTGCTCATACACCTCACCCCACAGTTTATTACACACTGAGCCTTTTCAATAATGGCTTCATATCTGAAATGTTCCTTCTATCACCCCATCATCTTCACTGGGTTAATAAGTTGCCTCTTTTGTTCTGCTTTGACATAAAGATATGTGGTGAGTTGGATTTTCTATTCCTTTAGACACCTGGTTCTTGTATTGATTGGAATATAATTGGAATATTTTGTGTATCTCTTTTAATTATTTATGTGAGGTGTATTAGAGAACACATTGCCCTGAAAGATAACATTATATATTATCTAAATAATTGTTATATCAAAAATTATCAAAATGAATGAACTGGTGTAGGCTGAATTTCCTTGGAAAGGTATTTCGCAGCTCTGATGTTGATGAAGCCCTGCTTCAGAAGGAGGTTGTGTCAGGTACATTGTAATCTGATATCCGAGACATAAATGTTTCCTTCTACTTTTGCCTGTCATTAACTCACCCCCTCTAGAGCTGACACATCTTTGAATTAGGATTGCTCAGTTCATCTTTCTCCCCTCTGGCATTTCGTTTTCATCAATGGATAGATAAATAGCAGTGCTAAGAAATTACAAAGTTTTGCCCTTTTTGCTATGGCGGATGTAGACAAAAAAAAAAGTTCTAATGATTGCTTCAGAAGTTTAGGGGAACAAAGAAGCTTTTTAAGCCTTTTCCGAGTGAAAACTCTGGACTTCAACTTAGACCTTGCAAGCTGAGATGAACTAATAACATAAGAGCATTGTCTTTACATCCACAGCCAATTATGTTGGGGGAACAAACACATCCTTGACATCATAAGAAAAAGGCCTCACTGTTTATCTCTTTAATAACCATTTTCAAGGGAAATTAATGTTACTTTGTCCTTTATGCTGAACAATAATTGGATTGTGTCTTTCAATTATAGCTGGACAAATGCCAAGATATTGAAATGCTTCTAAATATTAGATTTTCTTGTCCAAAAATTAGATTTGATTGGCATCGTCTATGTAAGATTTCTTCATTTAAAACTTTATTACATAGAAAGATGCTTTCAGCATAAGAACCCAACTTAAATTATTTCTAAAAGGGTCACCAGTAAAGAGGTACAACTCCTTGTGCAGTGTAGAAGACAGACCATAACCATATTACTTGCTCGTTTGACTTACCTGGGATGATTTTCTGCAATGTGTTTGAATTCAGCATCCCAGTTTGGTCTTCCATAGAAAGTTTTCTGTCTCAAGCCAGTAATTACATCCACTTTTTCATCATAATGTAATGCAATATGGGTCGCCTATATTATAGTGAACAAAAAGGTCATTATTTTGGAATCAACAAATTGTAACATCTCATTAGAATCAACAGGAAATGCTATAATGCTTTCATTAAAAAGCAGTGTTGATTAACTGGGAAAATGCAGATGTTATATAAGCCTATTTTTAAAGAGGAATCGGCACTGAGTTCCCTGACCCTCTTCTCCATGGCAACACTGGAGAAATCACTTCACTTAAAGCTATACTTTTTTGAAAGATTGATTTACCAATACTTTTTGTTTTACATTTATCTCACGCTTCCATGGCATATAGCTTTTGATTCAACAGCTTTAGCACTGAAGTTGTTTAGGACCATATCAATATGAATGCAGCAATCATTTCATTTAAAGCTACCATCTTCAGAGGCAGGATTTCCCCCAATTTCACCTGTTTATTTAGCTGTTCATGTTTTATTGGTTTGTTGGCTGTTTTCATCTATTAATTTTGTTTTTGGGTGGAGTGAAAGGGGAGGGAAGGGGTTATGCTATATTGTAAGACTGACCAGAGCAGTGGCTTTCAATTAAATGGGGCACTATGTAAATGCAAGAAATAAAATAAATAAAACGTTATTCTACATGCTTTTCCTGCTTCCAGTGCATAAAACTGTTGATCCAAAGATCCAAACTGAACAACCAAAATAGGACTAAAACATTTTATCAATATACCTACCAGTAGAGCAATAACATTTGTTTGAACTGTCAACTGATGCAGCTCTAGACTTATTGTAGAAAACACAAACAAACAAACAAACTGCAAAGGAAGGTTTTGTTATGCTAATGGAACTTCAAAGGAATAGGAAGGAAAAAGCAAGAGTGTTCTCTTCTGTACTGTGCTTCACTGTACAAGGAAAAAGCAAGAGTGTTCTCTTCTGTACCGTGCTTCACTGTATACATCTTCTTGATTTCAATCCTCCAGACATGCCCAACAATGTAGCAGAAGAACCTAAACAATTGTTCCCATGATACAATTCCAAGCCCCTCTCCCCCCAGAAAAGTGAGAGGAAACAGAGTAATAACAACAACAAATGGAGAACTGGGGGCTGAACAAAATGTGCTGGATATTCATACAAAAAGATCAGACCTACTTGGCTTTAGCAATAATGTTGTCTGATCATTGAAGAATATATATCAACATGAGAGGAACATGGGATAAATACAACCAATGCTTATAATTCTTAAAATTCCATTTAAAAAGCAGCAGCTTTCATAGTTAAACACGATCATACAATTTCGGGGTGGGGGAGGCAGCACACTTTGTAGCAATGCGAGAACCCATTTTGATAGCACCAGAAAAATCTTGCTACCCATTAAAGGGAAGAACGGTGTGGTTCCTTGCCTTTGCATAGGAGGAGCAGACAAGCATAGTTTTATATCCATGTAACATGTCTTAATCTAGATCCAATACAATCAATCTAGATCATAGGAACATGTTCATACATCATGATGGGGTATATTTGCATATGCAAGGGATGTCACAATTTATGGAAGTCCCATATTAAGTTATGTAATGAGTGAACCACAGTGCTATCATTGACTTCAAAGTGTTAATGCTTACATATAAGGCCCTAAACAGTTTAGGACCTCGATACTTGGCGGAACGCCTGCTCCCACCTAGATCTATTCGGATCACCTGCACGAGCCAGGAGGTGAGGCTGAGGAGCCTAACCTAATGCCGAGGGAGGCCCGGAAGGAAAGAACACGAAACCGGGCCTTCTCGGCGGTGGCTCCTCGCCTCTGGAATAGCCTTCCCCCGGCAATTCGTGCGGCCCCTACGCTGGGCACCTTTAAGAGCCAACTAAAGACATGGTTGCACGTTCAGGCCTTCCCTCCTGTCAATACTTAATTTCTTTTTTCCTTATTTATTTTTTGTTATAATTATTGTAAGTTCCCACAGTTTGTTTGTTAAATCTTTGTGGTTTATTGTATTTTTTGTATATTCTATGGTTTATTGTATATTTTATTGTAAGCCACCCAGAGTGGTTGACCAGACCAGATGGGTGGGATATAAATCAAATAAATAAATAAATAAATATCATGTAGACTTCCACTATCGTCAAGCAGATCCAGAGGGGTAGCCAACTAAATGGATTAGACAAGGTCAACAACCAATGATGGTGGGCATTTTCCAGTGTCTCCCTGACACACTCCCTTTTCTCTTCTCCCCCCTCCCCATATTATTCCTCCCTTTACTCTATTCCCAGTTTCCCAGCAATGCCTCCTAGCCTTGCTTCAATCTTACACAGATTTTTAAGTATACTGCTGCACCCACAGTGGACTGGTTTGAGAGTGTAATTAGACTTTGTAATTAGACAACTGGATGACAACCCAACACCATCTTTAAATTAGTCTGAAGGGAGATGTCAGTGCCTCCCAGTTTGCCAGCAACACAGCAATACATATCCTTTCCCTTGGCAGGAAGTTCATCAAAACAGTCAGTAGCAATTGACATATTAGTGGCAGAAATATTCTGTACCATCAAGAAATATTTGGTGATGGCAAAACCTGTTATTGAGCGGACTAGCAGTAAGCTGAGCAGGGCCAGTGCAAGGGTCAAAATAGATGATATAGTTAGCATGTCATTAAAAGCAGAGATATTTGTATTCATATCCCTGGGGATATGAATATGAATATTGGCACCACAGGTGCCTGGAAAGCCCAGCCCTTCCCCCAGAACTGGCTGGTCCACTCATTGGTTGCCACGTGGTACACACAGCCAGCATCATTCCCATCGTGCCAATTGCAGAAGTAGCCTGGCCTGCACTTCCCGGCAGAGCCAACCGCTCAACAGCTGAGTGGGGAGACTCATCATCCTGCCTCCTTCCTCAGGTGGTCAGCTGCACAAGGAGGCGAGGAAGCACTGGCCAGGCTACTTCTGCCATTGGTGGATTGGCCAGTTCTGGAGGGAGGGATTGGACTTTCCAGGCCCCTGAGGTGCTGATATTTGTATTCATATCCCCAGGGATATGAATATGAATATCCCATCTCCGATGTCTGTTTTTCTAGCAGGAGATTGCCTCTACCTCTATATCGTAAAATAGCTTGCTTTTGTTTTGTGATTAGTCAAAGGGAGTTCATTTACAAGTCTGATTGCTATGACACAGAACTTTGAAGAAATTGTGTGTAAACGCTGTAAAAACAGGACTTCCATGTGTCTTTTGACTTGGGATTTGACCTGAAGTTATTTTGCTGTCTGATGTTAAGTATAATATATTGCCCCGTCCCTTCTCCATATGCAGAATCCCAAAGGATTGGAAATTGAATCTTACTTCAGCAAGGGCAATAGGACAGTGACGTCCTCTGTACCAGAGTGTGGCAAGTGGGTCACAAGACACCTCGCTGCTATTCATCATCTCCTACCATTTCCTGTCTGGCATAGTTATTCCATTTTGTCTAATGATAGCACTGGCAATAGGGAAGAGAAGGTTGGGAGGAGGGGAAAAAGTGACCTGGAAAGAGAACAATTGGAGAACAATTGAGAGTGGAATATTCCTGCAGCTACTAAAAAAGCCTTGGCATCAAATGGTTTATCTGGGACTCTGTGGCACTCAAAACAAATACTTGCAAAAGACAAATGTAACTACTATTTGCTTTAAGGAAGCCATGCTTTATGCGATGTAAGCATTCATTTGATTACAGTTCCTTAGGCTGCAATCCTGAAAAGTAAGATTCAGTAACTCAGTCCCATAAGATTTCATTTGTACCTGACTTTCATCCCAACTGGTAAGAAATATGTGATAGCTTAGAAAATGGGCTTTCCCTTTCTGAGCCATTTGTGCTTCCAGCAAGCACAGGAGATCAGCAAACCACTCAAAGGCAGATGGATCTCGGCAAATCCAATAGAAATAAACCTGTCAAGGGAAAGTAAAACAATTCAACAAAGTACAAGCTTTCATCGGGCGTCCTCTATGGCTCTTAAATTATTTATTTGGAGATAAGTGGCTAATCTTATCGCTGGCTACTGCGCTCAGGTGTAAATTTATATTTGATTTTCTACCTAGCATTGACAGTGCAGAGTTTTGAAAAACACTCCAGCAACTTGTTCATACACAGTTTTAATAGATTTTTAAAAAAGAAAATTCACAAAAACAACCTCTAAGGAACTAAATATGAGATGGAGACAGTTTCAGATGTAAACCACTTCTGCTAATATAATGTCATCAATGATTTAGGCCAGGGAATGTCATTGGAATATCTACCAAGCCCTAATAATGGGGCTGGGCTTAGGCTTTTGAAATAACAACTATGATAATTTATGTAGCACTGTTTCAATTTTCAGTCCAAATCACATCCACTGTCTCAGTAATTCTTATAACAATACTGTGAGATTGATTTATATTTATCCCCATATTGTAAATGGGAAGAATAGTGGCTTACTTAGGGCCGCTTAATTAGTTATTGCTGAGGTGAAATTAAAATGAGATGCTTCCTGGACCTCATCTCTCATTTTTAGCCACTCTAAAGCAGCATTTATGTTTAATTATCACATTGAGTTCATGTGCAATCATCCTGAAATCTCTATGAGTAAAATGGGAGTTTGACAGTGCAATCCTGTATACACATCTATTCAGAAATAAACATGTTAAGCATGTGTACTTGTGTATACGATAACACTATAACATATTTACTTAGAAATAAGTAGCTAATTTTATAGCGGGCTACTATATTTGGGGGTAAATTTATATTTTATTAATATAATCTGCATTGTGACAAGGAATCCAGATAGCTTTGCTTGAGGCATTATTACTGATAGGGGAACTGTATTTCCTGAGTACTTAATAGTGAAATAATTTGTTGTTTCACTGAGGCCTTGCAGGTGTATTGTGGCCCACAAAGTTCAGTAGATGGCAGGTCACTTACATAGTGTGTGCTGCATGTTTGGAGGCACATCAGAAACCAAAGGGTCACCATAGCATTATCCAAAACTAGGAATAATCAGCAGTAGGTAGCCTTGGCTTGCCAGGGTAGCAATGGCTTGATTCAACATGCCAAAAATAAATAGAGTTTTAGCTGGGAGACAGGTAGCTGTGCTGAGGACAAACATCACAATTATTTGTGGAGATGATCCCCACCGCCACCAAACAAGCAGGAAGTATAACGGCATCTTTAAAATGAAACTCAGAAGCAAAATAGGCCTTACCTTTTCCAGCCTCAGTTCTGTGTTTAGTTTACAGCACTTATGCCAAATTGATTTCAGAATGGATGCAAAAGGAGTGACCCCAATTCCTGCAGCAATGCATACGCTGATTTGATATTGAAACACGTCTGTTGCCGCAGCTCCAAAGGGCCCGTCCACAGCCAGCCTGCAATTAGATTTAAACTAATAGTGTTAAGTTAGTAACTACTATGGTTTTATCTGCAATTTTTTTGTTCATCAGTTCTACTGTCATCACATTTATCTAAGTCATTTTAATAGACATATTCTTGTAGCCACTATATGTAATTAGAAGAAGAGCAGGAAAGCCAATTTAAAAATAAACAAATAATGTAAGTTAAAATACAAAATATATGTGGGCCTCCATTTTCTAAAACGATGATTCATTTTAGGGGATAATTTTAATGAGTTGATATTTTATATTCAGAATGTATTTATCACAGCATGAGAGAGCAAGAGCGGGAGGCCTCAGCATTTATTTAACCACACAATTGTAATGTTAAGGATTTGGGAAAATCTGATTAGTCACTTTATTGCATGGCCAAATGTAGTGGGAACATTTGCGTGTTTAATTGTGGCTCACTTAAAAAAATCTTTGTTTATAAAGTATTCTCTTCTACTGTGTGCACATGAAAGCACAGAGAAACTGATTTAATTCTGAAATTTTTAAATTAGTTTGAATACTTCTGGCTGTTATGGGAGAGGAGTGAAAAATATCAGGAGGACAGGATTAAGTATATTGGCATTTAACCCTAAATTCAGTAAATATGTGAAAGTGTCCAAGATAAAGGGGATTTCAAGGGGAAGCAAATGTGCTCCATTCAGGGATGGAAATGGGATAGAAAAGCAGGTCAGTCAGCATACAATTGATTTGAATATGGATATACATGCACATAATAATCCCAGTAGGATTGTCTTGCACCCTGGGAAAGTTAATTCTTCAGAGTACAAATCCCAGAACCTCTAAAACAGAATGGATTCTATTCTAGTGGCTGAAATCCTACTCTAAAAACAATTGACTACATTAAAGGAAGTCACAACTAGATTAGGGCCAGATAAATCAAAGGAATTTATGGAGGAGTTAATTCATCAAATTCTCACTGATTCACTGGGCCTACTTGTCTGTGACTTATTATCCTAAGCAGCAGGATATCAGTTCTATTATATCAGATTATGTTAGATTATATTGAAATTAAATTATTCTAAAATTAAGGTTTGCTGCCTGGGAGCTTCTGAAAGTTTTAGTCCAAACTCCAAAATCATAAATTTTTCCAACTGCGCTTTCCGATGAGGACAAGGATCCACATCCTCACCTAGAACCACTGGCCATTGCATGGGACCATTGCATGAGGCTATACATTTTGCCACTTGAGTTGAAGAACAGGATGATGTCCTCCCATTCCCTGCACAAAAGGGAACCAGCCTGATAGTTCAACACTGACAATGGTTGAGAATTCTCCATTTGCTCTGATGGCATCAGACTAAGGCAGGCAGCAGGTTACTTTAGAGTCTAAAGTGTTTTGCCTTCTAATATTAAATGGTCAAACCCTCTCTCCTGGCGCTTGTGCAAACTGTAGCTGCCTTACTCTGCCTGTCGTTAGGACAGGTCCTGCTTTAGACTAGTACACAACTGGAGCAAGACTGACTGTTCCATTCCCAATAGTATCTTTAAATATTAAAAGATGTTTCCTGATTGATGACTAATTGATTTATTAATGCAAACATATGCTGACTTTTTAAATATAAGACCTCAAGTATCAAAATTCAGCTTTCGGGAACAGAGGAAGTGCCTCTGCATCTTACATCCATAGTAGAGGATCATCCTTTCAAACTATCTCTATTATCTGTCGGTTTAAAATCCTTTAACCTTCCACTGCAAGGTCAGTTAAATAATGTCTACCAGATTTGGGCTCACTCCTTTAAAGTTCTGCAAACTTCACATGCATCAAGTCATATATGCAAAAGGGGCCTCCACAAGTGTCCCTCAGGGTTCTCATGCCCTCAATGTGAGCTACACCAAGGAACAAAAACTTCAGACCACTCAGCCCTGAACCAGTTGCACATTTCAGAGTTGCTTGTCTGAAACAAAGATTTCTCATGCTTATCAAAGCCAGGCCCAGGGCTGCAACAGTGAGTCTTCCACATCCTGCTTTTTTCTGGTACATAAATTTTTTAGGAGAGAGAAAGGAGATAGTATCTGCCTGAAAACTTTGCTTCTCACACTTTTGTACCATCAGCTGGGGGATGAGGTGTGGTAAGGTGAAGTGGTGAAGTTTACTTAGTAGCTTTACTTAGGTTCCAACTTATTTCCAATAATTAATGCATAGTTTAAGCTTAAATAAAAATTTAAACTGAGTTATGTTCCTGTTATCCGAGAAAACTAACTTACTGATTTCTAGCTGTTATTGTTAATCTCTGGTCACTCATTACAAAATCCAGAAGTATCATAGAATCATAGAGAAGTGAAGTTTCTCCACCTTAGTAAAGTGGTTGAGAGGGTGGTGGCAGACCAGCTTCAGACGCTTCTGGATGAAACCAATGCCCTGGACCCATTTCAGTCGGGCTTCAGGCCATGCTATGGTACAGAAACAGCACTGGTCGCACTGTTGGATGACCTGTTGAGGGAGGCCAATAGGGCAATATGTCCTTGTTGGTCCTCCTCGACATCTCAGCCTCCTTCGATACCATCGACCACGGTATCCTCCTGGGGAGGCTCTCTGAGTTGGGAATCGGTGGCCTGGCACTTGCCTGGCTCCGATCCTTCTTAGAAGACTGTCCCCAGAGAGTACAGCTGGGCGAGAATATCTCGGCCCCATGGAGCCTCAATTGTGGGGTTCCGCAGGGGTCAATCATCTCTCCAGTGCTGTTTAATATCTACATGAGGCTGCTGGGTGGGATCATCAGGGGATGTGGGGATGTGTGTCATCAGTATGCTGATGACACACAGCTCTACATCTCCTTTTCACGTACTTCAGTGGATGCCGTTCCATCCCTCCAGCGCTGCCTGGAGACTGTACTGGAATGGATGCAGGTGAATGGGTTAAGGCTGAACCGGGAGGGTGGGCAGTCCCTCCGTCAGCGGTTTGGGTGACTCCCTTTATTTTGGGGGGACGACCCTCACCGCAAAGACCGAGGTTCACACCTTGGGGATACATCTGGACCCAGCACTTACCATGGAAACCCATATTTTCATCTATGGCGGATTTCCCAGCTGCGACCATATCTTGATGGGGGGGGCTCTCACTACTCTAGTCCACGCGATCGTAATCTCGAGGTTAGACCATTGTAATGCACTCTACGTGGGGCTGCCTTTGAGATTGATGCGGAAACTTCAAATGGCGCAAAATGCAGCAGCCAGGCTTCTTAGTGGGGTGAGAAAATATCAACATATCTCCCTGGCTGCTCTGCACTGGTTGCCCATCCATTTCCGCATTGATTTCAAAGTATTGATGATGACGTACAAAGCCCTAAACGGTTTGGGACCTCGATACTTGGCAGATTGTCTTCTCTCAACCAGGTCTACCCAAATCACTCGACAAAGCCAACAGGGATGGCTGAGGGGCCTTACGCTGGGAGAGGCCCAGAAGGACAAAACAAGAAACCAGGCCTTCTCGGCGGTGGCCCCTCGGCTATGGAATATCCTTCCAACAGAAATCCATCTGTCTCCCTTGCTGGGTGTTTTCAAAGGCCATTTAAAAACCTGGCTCTTTAGGCAGGTGTTCCCTCCAGTCTGATTTTCTGTTTCTTAACTATCCCATCTTGACAATGTATATAGACTTTAGCTATTTAGTTAGTAGGTTTTATTATGAATGTTATTTTATCGTGTTTTATTACTCGTGTAAGCCGCCCCGAGTAGACTTTGTCTAGAGGGTTGGGGTATAAGTTCAATAAAAGGAAAGGAAAGTTGGAAGGGACCTACAAGGCCATCAAGTCCAACCCCCTGCTCAATGCAGGAATGCAATCAAAGCATATCTTTTTCTTGAATGCCTCCAATGTTGGAGCACACACCAACTCCCGAGGTAACTGGTTCCACTGTAATATTCAACCAAAATCTGTCTTCCTTTAACATGAGCCCATTGTTGTGTGTCCTGCATTCTGGGATGATTGAGAACAGATCCAGTCCCTCCTCTGTATGACAGCCTTTCAGATATTTGAAAAGTGCCATCATATCCCCCATCAGCCTTCTTTTCTCAAGGCTAAATATGCCCAGTTCTTTCACCCTTTCCTCATAAAACTTGGTTTCCAGCCCCCTGATAATCTTTGTTGCCCTCCTCTGAACTTGTTTCAATTTGTTAGCATTCTTCTTGAAGTGTGTTGTCCAGAAGTGGACACAATACTCAAGGCCTAACTAGTGCTGAATAGAGGGGGACTAGCACCTTGCAGGATTTGGAAACTATACTTCTAGTAATGTAGCCTAAAATAGCATTTGCGTTTTTTGTAACCACATCGTACTGTTGGCTCATATTTAGTTTGTGATCTACGACAATTTCAGGATCTTTCTTGCTTGTAGTATTGCTGAGCCAGGTATCCCCCATCTTGTAACTGTGTATTTGGTATCTCTTTCATAGGTGTGTAACTTGGCCCATATCCCTGTTGAATTTCATTCTGTTGTTTTCAGCCCAGTGCTCCATCTTATCAAGGTCATTTTGAATTTTGTTTCTGTCTTCTAGAGTACTGTATTAGCTACAGTGGTGCCTCACTATGACAGTTTTTTTCACTAGACATTGACTTTTTGCAATTGCTATAGCAATTTGCAAAACAGTGATTCCTATGGGAATTTTGCAAACTGATTTTCGCTAGACAACGATTTTGACAGCTCCCTCTGCGTTCGCAAAATGGGTGTTTTTGGGACCTAAGCTTTGCAAGGCAGCTATTTAAACAGCTGACTGGCGGTTCCCAAAGTGGCTTTCCTATGGCTGATCTTCGCTAGACAATGACGATTCTTCCCTATTGGAACACATTCAATAGGTTTCAATGCATTCCAATAGGAAATGCTTTTCGCTAGACAATGATTTCGGTAAACAGCGATTTCAGTGGAACAGATTATCATCGTCTAGTGATGCACCACTGTATTTTGTCTAGTTTGGTATCAATTGTCTAATTTAGTATTGAACAGCACCAGGCCCAGGACTGAGCCTTGGAGTACCCCACTTGTTCTCTCCTCCCAGTTAGAGAAAGATCCATTAATCATCACCCTCTGAGTACGATTCTGTAGCCAATTGTGCATCCACCTGACACTTCCAGCCCACACCTAGTTAGCTTTTCTGGAAGATTTATCATGATATCATGGGGCATTTTGTCAAAAGCTTTGCTGAAGTCAAGATAAACTACATCTACTGCATTCCCTCTGTCTATCAGTATGTTTATGTCCACTGTTGCTTTGTTCACATGATCATTGCAGTGCCTGAAGAGGAAAGGTTTCTGCTCATATGTCAGCTCTCAATGAAAACAAGAATTATGGAGATGCTCAGTTTTTACTAACACCGAGGCCAACACATGAGAATCAATCTCTTTTCTTCAGACTTGTCAGTGATCATGCGAGCAAAGCAGCAAACCTCCAGATTCAGTTATGTCCAATTAATGCTTCAGTAGTCACCAGCCTTTCCACAAAACCTGCTCCCTGACCATTTTAACAGGAAATGTTGGATCTGGTTTTGAATATGGGAAACAGTACCACACAGAGTAGTAATAATAATAACTAATAATAATTAATTAAAAACATGCTCCTAGTACCTAGAGCAGCATCAAACTTTAGCCCCAGTTAGGTATTACTTAAATAAATCTTCCAGGCAAGAGAGAATGCTAGCTGTGCTTCCTCACACCATCCCTCTCCAATTTATAGAGAGTGACTACACAAAAGGTAGGCCTAGCACATTCTTCTCCTGAGGCTTTTTGCTTTAACTGCTTTAATTGAGGTTTGAGTAGGGCTTTTAAGAAATGTATGGTCTCCAAGGTCTCCTCACAGTTTTGGAACCCAAACTGAAATCTAATATGGTCTGCCACCACTGAGGCCATACAGGTGTCCCTCTTAAAAAGGCAATACACAATACCTGGGACCCTCCTTTGGTGAAAGACTAAGCGCTTTACTACTGAAGTAGACTCCCGCACTGCTCATCAAAATGATGTTGCTCATTTAAGTGATTCTTAAGCACCTTTTTAAACATGTGGGCGGCTCCCCAGTTCAGAAGCATCCCAAGGTCAGTGGGATACGAGCAGCTGTTACTAATTTTGTGCCTCACAGCAGGATAAGTGTTAGCATCGCCATCTTACAAGCAGATGTGTAAACCCCAGCATTTTTTGAACTATCTGTGCATCAGTGTCTGTTGTCCAGTGCCACAGTGAAAAACTGATTGTTGCCCCCAGATGTCCTATTAAACTACAGGCACTATTTATAACACTAAGAATGGATAAAGCAGATTCAGAGCAAAGCAGAAAAAAGTATGCTAATGAGCAGAGAGAAACAGGTCATGGAAAACAGGAAAAAAATAGAAATGTGTGTTTTCAAACTAGGGATAATCTATTTTTGTGTCTTTCATCCTAGGCTTGTGTACAGGCACTGCAGCATAAATATATTTTTCTGATTTCCAGCTAACTACCCATAGCCCCATGCAGCACAATGTTAAGCATCTGTAGGGAAAAGTGAATCCTACCAAGTTCATTCTGACGTAATCCCAGTGTTTGAATTATGGGATTCAAAGAGACAAGCAGCCAATGTTTAACTAAACAGGGGAGGGGGGAGATTCAGTGGGTGGGGCTTCCAGATTTCATTGAAGACCTCCTCACTTCCCCTGTAATTATTAGCACTGCATAGCCATTAGGGGCACAACCTCAAACAGGTGCATCACTTTTTGGCTGGATCATGTTCACATCAAATTATGTTAAAATCTCTTCTGAGTAACATAATTTAAGTAGCCTTTTTGAAGGAAAACATTAATATAAGATATGTTCTTCCCCTGTCAGTTAAGACTGCGTATTTTAGTACATCTATAATTATAATTTATACTCTGTTTTGATATGCAAAAAAGCTTCACAAATCTGAAAGTTAATCAAAAACAAAATGACATGTTTGCAACACTGCAATTAGTTTTCGAACCTTGGCAGCTTCCACAGCTCCTTGAAGGTTTTTTCCTCTGCTCCAAAGGCTCTGAAAAGGGCTTCTGTCCAATCGCCAACTGACCTTACATGTACACTAAAGAAGTCATCTTCAGGGGCTGAAGTGAGAGTGAAAGGGTGCCACTCCAGCTGGGATACAGCAGGGCACTGGAGGAAGATGTACTGGCCAGCCTCCATTTTGAAACCCTGTTTTTTCATATGAAGCTCCAGAACTCCCGATGAATGAGACACCACCTAAGTCACAATTGAACAACAAACAGTTTGCTGTATTTGTCCTGTCCAAAGATCATGCAAAAAAGAGGGATGTATATGCAGCCAAAGGCCCACAGTATTTCTCTCTTAAATAAAGATTTTTAATTGTACCATATTGTTTTAGCTGTGATTATAAATTAGATCTTACCATTTTTTACTTAATATGTTACTTATCATAGGTCGAAACAGAGGTTAAGGGGATTGAGAACATATCAATCACGTCTGATTCCAGACGTTAAGCAGGACTGACCCAATCCAGTACTGAATTTGAATGGGAGATTACCAGGGAATAGGAGGGATCTCCAGGTTGAGCTAGGAAAGAACACATTCTGAACAATGGAAAGCTACTGCCAGTCAGCATTGCAATAGCACACTAGATATGCCAATAATTTAAACTTAGTATAAGGTAGCTTCCAATAATGCAGTGGCTGTCAATTGTTTCACTAGAAAACTCCCTTACTAGCCATTGTGTTTCAAAGCCTATCTTGGCCATCACTTGAACAGCAGCTGCTCTTCAGGAAACAGAATGATTGTACTGTTTTGCAGACATGATGGTAAAAACAGAACAGCTCATACTGAATTTTAAATAAGTTACCTTATGCACATTTTAGTTCCCTTCCTCAGGTAATAGAATTAGTGGGAGGAAGTACCAGCTACCCTGAGATAATCCTTGTGTCTTTTGGGTGCTACAGTTAATTTCACCTAATTAGGAAAACCAGACAGTTTCATTGACTGGAATAATGTGGTCCATTCAACTTCAAATGTAGAAGGTACATAATTTTTTACAGACCATAGACTATACCAAACAAGATAGGATATGGGCGTTTCTACCCATGAAGCAAAATAATTCTACATTTTTATTCTGAAACAAATAAAGAGTATATTAAATACAAACCTTTGTAACGACAACCTGTTGTTGAAATCTCCAAAACCTAATTGTTCTTTCACAGATGTACAATACCATAGGACCCAGGACCCACTTCCAAGCCTGCTGGGGATCACATAAAAATAATATGGGGAAAAAAACGTATGTAACTTTTAAATTAGATGCCTTAGTCCAAATATTCCACAGCTAATAAAGAGGATGCTGCAAACCTCCCATGGATTAGAATATAACTGGTTTCTATACGCTTATATTTTGGATATTGTAAACACTGTGATGAGGGATGCTAGTGGAAGGAAAATATTTAATCAGGGGATTAAAAAAAACCCAGTTCAGACTAGATTAACTGGCCAACTGATTCTTCTGTGTCCTCATAACTGATGAAAACCTGCAATAGTCCCTCTTCTCTAGGGGAAGACAGACTTTGAAAAAGATACTTCCCTACCGATTATTTGTTTGGGATGTCCTAGGAGCTATTCTTTGTCCACCCAAGCTCTTCACAGTTAAATAATTGAATAGGCTTGATGGATCATTCAACCCAATGGTATTGCTCTCACTTTCTAAGGCTCAAGGGCTTGATTGAGATAGACGTAAGCTTACCAGAGGTTATTACCACATAGGAAAGACTGCCTACATGACCCTCAGGCTCATGAAGATTATTCCTTTTTCTTTTTATATATTACTTTCCAATTAAAATTGTTACTCCATCTAACATCCATGGACATTGGATCAGGGTGACAAAATTATTTAAAAGGAGGTGGGCCCTTTTGGAGTGCAGGGGTTCTAATGTATCCTCCAAAACACCAGCAATGACTTTGACACTCACCAAACAGTTGATTGGCATGGTGAATTTTAAACACACAGATCAACTGTTTGAGGAGGCAGTATGAAGAGGAGGGTTGCCACATCTCAGGGAAATGGTTTAAGGGAAGTGTGAGGAAATCAAGTCTTCACATAGAGAAAAAAAATCTCAAAACCTAGAATGCTCACATTGGGGCCTGTGTAGATGTGGGGGAGACACTTCTTCAACGTAGATGACCTGTGACTGTTGCACCTGCCCCACACACCCCGATCTTGGGGTGAGACTTTCTGTTGAGTACATGAACCTCCCTGCTCTTCATGGTAGCTGCCCTGAAACTGTTTAGGCTTTTAAAGGTAAAAGCCAGATGGGAGGAGAGAATTGTGAAAGGACCCTGGTAATTGGTGGCTGCTGGATCTTAAAGTTTTACACATCTCTCTCTCCACAGGCTGATCCCAGTCCTGCAAAGGGAAAGTCTCAGGGCAGCTACCATGAAGGAGGGAGAAGCCCATGTACTTAGCAAACAGGTACACTCTAAGATTGAATGAACTTTCTTCTGCACACATACCCAATTTGACTGGAAGAGTACATATTTATGACCTCCAGATCTGCTATTTCCCATTTTTGGTCATAATTTTCCATTTTACTTTTTGCTGTTAAGTTAACAAGTTTTCTAGTATACGTTTATTGGCCAGAAACTGACCCAAAAGTTCTGTTATGCTGAAACTACCTCCTTTCATTTAGCTGATTAGGGTGTTTTATGTCAATAATTACACTTAGCTGATCTATGACATTAAGGTGCTTAGTCTTCAAAATGTTACAGCTGATAATTGCAGTTCATGATCATATATACTGATCATCTTATTGATCAAAGCTACTTAGCTGACCATATATATTAAATGGTAATTCTCTTCAGAGAAAAGTACAACAGCCACACAGGCCGTAGAACAGGATAATCATGAGTGATCCCAATCACACCAAAACACACACACACACACACCACTTAAGCTCTAATGCTGTTCCAGAAAGGAGCTCATAAAAGGGACAGGATAGAGTGCTCTTACTTAAAACTCATGTGGTTGCCAGAAAATAGAGTGAACCAAACCACACCAAAAGCAAACTAAATTGGGAGCTATATGCTCATTTGATCATCCCCTTACTTGGGACATCATCTTAGTGACAGAAGGAAAAACAGCAACAATTTTTATAGCACCTTAAAAACTTCACAGGTTTGTTATGATGTAAACTTTCATGGACTGGAGTCCTAAAGGTATCACAACACTTGGCTGGTTTTCCTAGAGACTGAGTTCGCTATCCTCTGAAAATGTTTGGCTGTGATAACACAGGCCATAAGGTAGCACCACAGGATTGCATGGCAAGGTCCCTTAAAACATGGGTGGAGAACCTCCAGCCTATTGGCCAAGTGTAACTCCCACAGGCTTCTTAATTTATACTTCCGGACTCTCTCTCGTTTTCCATGTCACAAGGCTATGCTCCCTCACTTTCCCTGCTCTGGGTTACTGATACAGTTTAGAAGCTCCACTTTGGCTTGATTAGACTTTCTAGGGTTAATTTATCTGCAGTTCCATCCTCAAAAAGAAAGGGAATTCCAAACAGTCATAAGGTGTTCAAGGTCACTGATGCTAGGCTTTTTGCCAACACCTTAGATAGCTGTTACAAGTAGCATAAACAAATTTTAGTTTCCCAGAGTTGTTGCCAATGATGTTTTCAGGAGAAAGATTCTTAAGTTTATATCAACAAAGTAATACCAAACTTCCTTCCTTGAAGTATAATTAAATGTCTAATTAATATCCAATTTATTTTCCTTGTGTGTCCCTGCATCTCCTCTTCTCTCCAGATTCACTGCTGTTCAGTCAGTGTTGGGGAATAGAAGATGCTATTTCTGGAATTGCCTCATCCAGGGATAGTAAAGCAATACATTTAAAAAAAATTTCTCACCCAATGGTAACACGAAGTTAATTAGGCTGATTTATCGCTTCTCCATTGCCGGCTGCCAACGACTTGCAAGCAAGTTAGTTCAGCTACTTGTTTCCACCCGCTGGTTGATTGGGGAGTTTCCCAGATCAAACATGGGTAACTGCCATTCCCCCTGTGATCAACAGGCTTCCCGCCCCCAATTCACCACCTCTTCAGGGTGGTTTTAACCCCATGAAGGGGTCCCAAACAAGTCAGAATTCAGACCAGGGGACGGAGCTCCATCCTCCTCTTGCTGTCTCGTCGCAGCGTCAAGGCGGAAGTCCAGCATTCACTTTGTCTTAAAATATTGTCGTGCAGCAGATGGAATATATGGCACTGGGCATGGAATGTCACCAGCCAGAAATAAAAATAGCTGCTCTGGCTGGAAGACAAAATCCAAAATCTGTGTGAGATAATACCTTTAGTAGGCCAGCCAAAAAGGGCACTACAATGTGTGCAAGTGAAAAGTAAACCATCAGCCTAATTACTTTTTAAAGAAAAGAAAAAAGCAAGAGACTGTTCTCCTTTCTGTTTGTATTCGGCAGACATGAAAAAGCTGGCAGGATTTTTTAAACTATTTGATATCCTCCCTGAGAATTCAGTACAGGCTTTCAAATGTGCTTCTTTGATCCTTTAGCAAGCAGCTGTAGAAGGCGTTATCTTTAAAGTGTCTTTTTGTTGGAAATGAATAGACTTTGATGGCCTTTTGAGTGACCACAGCTTCATTCCTAATATCCAGGACACTTGCCTTTTGTCAAGGTGACAAATTTATTAACATTGGCTTTAAATGGTTTTGGACAGGCTGATGATAGGGACCGGGAATGCCAGTTTTAATATGATTGATGAGTTAGTAATGATTATTTAGTAGTGATTAGCATCATTAGGAAAAAAGCCAGGTCAAATCTATGCAGTGCTGCTTTTTCATTTATATTTTGTACACACAGTGAGATGAAAAACAATAACACAAAGCTATAAAGCATAGTTTTTATCAATTCCTTGTCTAGCAAGTTACGTTTTTGCTATTCATTCCCCTTAACATATAAGCTTGATTCTGAATTTGGGCACTTTGAAACAAATGTATATCTCTTTCAGAACTAATGCTTTTAATGGAAATGCGTGTTTCTGTTTGGGAGAGTGCTTCCAGCATTGTTGTCATTGGCTTTGATTTGTTATTGTCTTTGTCCCCACCTTGGATGCCCACCTTAATATGCTGAGGCAGTTGGAATGTGTCAGAGAAGCTAAGAACAATGCTGTCATGAGACTAGATTCCACTATGAGTCCAGATTTCAATTAGTGCCACCCAAGGCAGAATGGTATAAGTTGAGACAGCAGATTTAGATGTATCCATCCTCTTCAGGACTTAATGGTTGCATCAACAGAAGATAAATGACAGTTCCAATAGTCAAGTGGAAACAGAGAAGTCTAGCAATTATACAGCAACAGTAGTGAAAGGTAACACTGCTGAAGGATCTTTCATAGACATCATCAGTGACACTCAACTCTTCATAGTACTGTGCAGTAGATACTTCTGAATGTTTTGCATCTTGAAAATCATAAATCCTGAGTAAATCCTAAACAAAAAGGAGACATAGCACTGGAAAATGAAACTCTCGGATAGAAGGCAATTGGTCAGGTACTGGGGAAGAGCAAAGGAGAAATCCAAATACATGGTTGCTGATGAAGTAACTTGATTAAAGTTGAAAGGACATTCAGTTACAGATGTGCACAAAGGCAAAAGGAAAGACCAAGGCTGCAAGTCCCATGTAACTGGAATATGCAGTACGAGAAATATGAATCGAGGTAAGTTCAAAATTTTAAAACAAGATATGGGATGTATAAACATTGCAATATTGCATGTAAGTGAACTAAACTGGGTTGAAACAGGATGTGTGGTTCTAATAGTGAGGCAAAACAAGCAGTTAAGGTCTATAATGCAAATCCTGACCAAATCATATCAATAAGACTTTATGGAAAGCCTGTCAATACACCACTCAAGTGTATGCTTCAGCTACAGATGCTGAATAAGAACAAATCAAAAGCTTTATAGGAGTGTCCAAGAGAAAACTCAGCAAAACAGGATGTGCTGACAATCATAGACAACTAGATTGTAAAAGCAGGAAATACGGCAGAACCAAACATTGTTGGAAGATTCTCTGCAGGACTCACAAATGAGGCAGAGGATATACTCCTATGTTTCTGTGAAGCCAACAGTCTGTTTATTACAAATACATGCTTGAAGTAGCTGAAATGATTATTATATAGGTAGATATCACAGGATGGCTATTAGGGATGGGACTTTTTGGAATTCTAGGGCTTCCACTTATAATTTGCACAGAACTCCCCAGGAAGAACTATGGGAGTGAAAGCCCCCAAGCCAGAAGGAGTTAGAAGCAGCCCTCTCTACCTCCATGGCTTTCCTGTACTGCTGCTTTTTCAAACAGTATAAGTAGTGTCCTGCTGCACTGTGGGATTTGCAAGGATTCCCTGAGACTTGCAAAAGAGGATGCATACTCTCTGATGGATGTTTGGGGCACAAAGCGAGCCAAATGCCTAGAAGAAATCTATCTCCCAGATCTGTAAATCCACAGTGCTGACCTTTGCTGTGGAAAGCTTGCCCCCCCTTTTTTCTGTTGGTAATGTGGGCATAACATTGTAAGGCAACATCATTTCTTGGCATTTTAAATTGTGAATTATGGAATACTCAGTGTAGTGTATTGGGTAGAGTGATGGACTAGGATGCAGAAAGGCCTGGGTTCAAATTCCCATTTAGCTAATGGTGACTCACTGGGCGTGTGGAACCAGTAAAACCCTTCCTTAAATCTCTTAGGTAAAGGTTCCCCTTGACATTTAGTCCAGTCATGTCTGACTCTAGGGGGCGCTGCTCATCCCCATTTCCAAGCCATAGAGCCAGCATTTGTCTGAAGACAGTTTCCGTGGTCACGTGGCCAGCGCAACTAGACACGGAACACCATTATCTTCCCACTGAGGTGGTACCTATTTATCTACTCACATTTACATGCTTTTGAACTGCTAGGTTGGCAAGGAGCTGGGACAAGCAATGGGAGCTCACTCCGTTGCATGGATTCGATCTTATGACTGCTGGTCTTCTGATCCTGCAGCACAGAGGCTTCTGCGATTTAACCCACAGCGCCACCACGTCCCTATAAATCTCTTACTTACCTTGAAAGTCCAATTAAGGTTGCTATAAGTCAGTTCCAACTTGAATAACACATAACAACAACAAAAGCAATCTCATGTTCGTAAACGAGATGTATTTGAAAGGATTAAATATATACAGCCATGTGCAAAGATCCATAATAGGTATAGATGAATAACACATAACAACAACAAAAGCAATATCTCATGTTCGTAAACGAGATGCATTTGAAAGGATTAAATATAAACAGCCATGTGCAAAGATCCATAATAGGCATAGCTAAGTCACAGTAATAGCAAAAGAGGAATCAAGGGAGATGCATTGATTAAGAGATTGTTATGTGTCATCAAGTCACCTCCGATGTATGGCAGCTCTATGAATGAGTGTGAATCAGCTGCGCAACTGGTAAAGCAAACCACCAAAGCAGCAGTTCGTGCCCATCTTTAATCCTATAGTTACTGCATTCCATGGCATCTCCTTTCTTAGGGATTGAAATTAATATACGCAGGAAAGCATCAGCTCTTCCTGAATGTCCTTCTTCTCCAGTAAAGTTGTGAATGCTGTGTCACTAAAGGTGCAGTACTATCCCTACCCCCTTTACCATCTGATGTGTATGAGTGAGTATTTAATACAAGTGAACAGTAACCTGATAGGAAAAGAAAGTGCCTCGTGTTCAGATCCTTTCCTGCTTTAGCGCTTTACTGTTTTCAAAGTCCCCTGTGCCTTCCAGATGGGGTTCACACTACAGTCTGGAGAGAACTCTTCTGTTTTGCCCTTATTTAATGGTGAGTTTATACTGAAATAAATGTTAAAAATCCTTTGCTGTTTGAATTGTCACCATCATGCAAAAGTCAGATTAACTATCAATTATGATATTGTGGATTTTTGTTTTAATTCAGCTTGGCTTTGTGCAAACAATCCAAACCTAACAAAAGAGACCTTGAACACATTCCTTTGGGTATGGAGAAAATGCTGCTGAGCTGCTTATGTTATGCTTATTAATTTCAGTATATGGCTTTAGAAGAAAACTAATGTCTATATTACAATAATGATTTTTGTACAGAGACATTGTAACTGAGCTGATGTTTATAGAGACACATTATCTGGTTTCTTAATATACAGGCAAGATGGTGACAAATGTGAAAACTCATTTAGGTCTACCATTACAATTATTGCAACACAGAAACTTATTTTTCCCTTGGGTTTTTTTCTAACATGATGGCTGAAATCCAGTAGTAAGTTAGAACTAAAGTAGCCTATTGAATCAATAGAATTTACATAGGTGTTGACTCATCTAATCCCCACTGGTATAGTGGGCCTATTATATTTGTGATTTAATACTGGATTTCAGCCAGCGTATTTTATTCCTGTTCTCTTCCCCTGCATACCTATTATCATTTGTGAACAGCAATCGGGGGAAATGGTTTTAAATCTTAGATTGTTGCAATTCAGGCATTTGACATACTAAATATGATGGTTAATTAATTACCTCCTGTAGATTTGCTGCCTTTTAAAAAACATTGACTCCCCATTCTGCTAAGCCTTTTACTGATTTTTTCCTCTTCTTGGTACTTAAAAAAAAGACAACATCCCCCATCAAATTTTTTATTTTGCGCCATGCGGCCATATAATGGAATTATCTAATAGTTTGGAAGGCATGGTTAGTATACCAGGACTAACCCATTAACTGAAATTGTTATATAGGTTCCACATTGGGATTTTATACAGGATTCCTCCATAATCCTGTAAGCAAAGAAGCTACCTTAACAACAAGATAGTTAAGATGCAAGGGTCATTCTTACCGCAGGGTCATTGCCAGAGAACTGTGGTAAGGGACACTGAGCTGAGATCCCCCATTCCGAGCAGTGATCTTTGCAATATGTGATATTGTGCAGCAACAGACTCTGAGTGGTCTGACCACGGATAAGCTGTCTGAACAGAAATACAAAATATAAAACTAGGGTGAGCTAAAGTAATAGTTTACATTTTATTTTCACTTTTTAAAAAAGTCAAGAAGGCTCTCTGAAAGTCAAAATTTAAGCCAATTCATCTCAGCTCAATGCAAAACTTTAGCCTTTCTATCAACATTTTTCTTCCAATGAATTGAAACAGCGGTGGCATCCTGGGGAAATCTGTGGGCTTGTTTGTGGAAGAAATAGGATGAAATCTGTGGACTTGTTTGTGGAAGAAATAAGATGGTGGCAGTGCTTACTTCAGCTTCCTCTGAGGGGATTTCTGTGCTGCTGTGTTAGACTGTGTAACTTAACAATGTGGATACTCGAAATAATGTTATGTCACTTCACTTACTCACCCTGTACCATGAATAACCAAGCCAATGAAGAAAACAATGAATAGGTGATGGGTGTACCAGAACAATTCATAGAAGGATCGTGTAATGATCTCTGTTGATGAAGTCATGATGAGAATTAATGACAAAGTAATTAGGAGACCAGTTGTTCCTGCAATGGTTGTGAGTATTTCACCCATTGTATTCTAGGGGGAAGAAAAAAGAATGAAATGGTTTATGGGAAGACTGAATTGATTCTATGAGTTCAACCTAAAAATAAATATAGATGAAGAAAATTCTCTCTTCCCCTCCCCCGCCATACACACACACAGGGGCTGAAAACCTATTGGGTGGAGTACCAACAGGATGCCTGAAGAATGTCACCATCAGTAGTGGCTGGCTGTCAAAAACTAAAGCCTTCCTTCAGGGTACACATAACTTTGCTGCATTGTGTGCATTACAAAGGGAAGTCCTGAATCAGTGGCTACAGGCTGCTGCCAATGATGTCATTCCTGTTACACAAGTGGAGCTCTGAAACAGGATTTCAGCCACTGAATTAGGAAACTTTTTTCTACTTAACTGTGTTCCAGAAAATTATATAAATAATGTTAGATGCAATATATATACTGTACTTCTGTGAAATTATGATAAGGATTTATCATACTGGTACCTTTTTTTGCTACACTGAAATATGTTTGGAGAAAAGAATTTATTAGTAGAAAACCTATGTATATCTACTTTATAGATATCTATTCAAAAGTAAGCCCCATTGAGTGTGGGGCCCACTTGCAGATAAGAAATTATGGGATTGTAGAATCAGTTGCTTTGGACACTACAGTAATAATGTGGTTGGAAATGAAAGAGCTGACCTGTCACTCAGTATTGATCTGAGCTGAAGACAAAACTACCCACTTGTGAAATCTCCTAGATAATCTCAGTGAATGCAGTGGCTGAAATCTCACTGTTTAGTAAGTCATATTAGAGTAGATACAGTGAATCAGTGGGGATTTGATAAGTCAATTCCTCTGTAAGTTCCACTGATTCAAATGGGTCAGCTCTAGTTGCAGCTTACTATGTTAACAGGATTTCAGCAAGTAATTATTCCAAGATCATCATTCTTCCTAAAGACAGGAAAACCTGTCAGTTTGGTCTAAATATGATGTTTGCAAATGTTTGTAAATTTTTCAAAAAGGAAGTGAAATAAAAATATTCACTCAACCGCACTGGCCAAATTATAGGTTCAACTACTTCTCACTTGGGGGAGACCATGTTGTACCTGCCTACCATATATATATATATGTTAAAGATGAGGAGCCTCTGGAAGAAGAGGTAGAAATTTATGGAATTCTTTTTGTTGTTTAGTCGTTAAGTCGTGTCCAATCCTTCGTGAACCCATGGACCAGAGCACACCAGGCCCTCCTGTCTTCCAGTGGTTGAAATCCTATTGCTGAGTGTACCAAGTCAGTACTACAATATATCCATTGAATCAATGCAATTTACAAAGGGGTTGGCTTACCAAATCGCTACGAATTCAATGAGTCTTCTTTAGTTGCAACTTACTGTACTAAGGAACAAGATTTCAGCCAGTACTCTGAATGTAAACTTGACAGCATTCAGTTTGGATAATGTCCTCAATCAGTTTGGATAATGTACCCAGAGATAATGTACTCAAGTTCACATCAGATAGCTTCTTGAAATCATCAGACAAGGGTTTGGCATTGTGAAGAGTCCAGGTCTAACAAGCATTCGCTCCATAAGGTCTCTTGAGTGTGGCTGCATAAGAGCCACCTTCCTAATACAATTGGTGATATTGTGGTTGCTATTTTCCATAACAAGTAATGTTTATTTGTTACTTTAGAGAGCCCCAAAAAGTCCCCGATCTGTATTTTATTTTATTTATTTGAACCAAAAGGTAAACACGAAGTGCATGCATAGGCCCAACTGTTTCTAGTTTGCAGAAGACCATATGGTACCTGCCTATCATATATATGTTAAAGACGAGGAGCCTCTGAAAAAAAGTAGTAGAAATTTATGGATTACATTTCTGGTTTTTATTTTATTTTATTTTATTTTATTTGGGGGAAATGGGGACTTTAGAAGGACCTCCAGGGCCCTGATTTGAGACCTTTTTCTCTTTGAAGCCTTGAGAAGCATAATTAGACTGATTTTTGTTTTGTTTTTGTTAAAAATCAAATCCTTTTTTTTTCTGGGGGAGCTTTTGAGGGACCAGGGAGGAGCACAAATTGTTGCAAGGACAGCGTGTGACCCATTTGAAAAGTAACAAAAATGCAATGTGTTATGTGAAATGAGATGATAAAAACTGAAGCAATAATGAATGCTAGCAAATCACTTTTATAAAAACAACAATTAAAAAATTTAAAAATTTATCTGGGGTGTGAGGAGCCCTCCAGATGTTGGACAACTCATGAGCTCTATCCATTCAACATGGTAGTTTGGAATGATGGGAACTAGAGTCCAATAATATCTGGAGGGTCACACATTCCCCCCCCCAGCTCCCCACCACATACACTAGTTTCACTGATCCTTAGAGCTGAAACTCTGAAAAGGCTCACTGTAAGTCAGAATTTATTTGACGGCACCTAATTATTATTATAACTCAATTTTTCCTCTCCTGGCGCAATTTTCTTTCATTCTGATGGGAATAGATTTCTTTAGTGATTTCAGGTAGGAATATAGCTATTACTCCTTGGCTTCTTCCCACTTCATATAGATTGAGCTAGAGATTGTAGCAGAACTTATTAAAAGTCAAAGGAAATACTGGATAGAACTCTGCAGCTACTTGCACAAGTGTATACCTGACACCAGGAAAAAGGAAAAATTTGAAAGTAGTTTGCTCATAAGTGCCATGGACAGTGCTTTTGTATGAGAGATAGAAATAGTACTGCAATGGGAAAAATTAACACCTTTCATGTACACTTACACTTTTACAGCTCTGTTCTTCTAAATGTGTACGAGACATCAGACATAGAATAGGTAGCTCTGTTCTTCTAAATGTGTACGAGACATGAGACATAGAATAGGTGTACAGTACATGCAAAATGTGACTGTCTTTAATGGCAAGGATGAAGTCCGATGAGAAACACACAAGGACAACCATAACAAAATCAACTTACTGTGTCATAGTTCCTGACTGGATTCAAATAACTTTCGTTAGGGTTTTTGCCAATGCCAGACAATTTGTTGCTTAATTCTCCTGCTTGTTTTGATTGGCTAAAATGATACTGTTCAATGTTGACCAAATGGGCGATGATATGAATGGCTGTAAATATAGAATTATACAATGAAGAGTACTATATGCCAACATAGAGAGTCTTCAATTGATGCCTGATTGCTTAAATCAAGGTGGGCCAAGTTCAGCCCTCCACATACTGGAACAAGCATCCTCATCATTGGCTATGCCGGCTAATAGCAGTTACAGTCCCAACATCTGGAGAGCCATATTTTGCCTCCATTTGGTAGACCTGCATTCCTAGAGCAGCATCCAGTAGCTTCAGTTTTGTTTTGCATTTACCTTTTGCAACAAAGGTTGGTAATGAGTGATGTGATTAAAAACATAGCTTGGTTACCATTGAAAATCCCGTTTTTATTTTCTTTTTAACTCTGGCTCTGCAGGAGAAAATGATAATACTGCATACGCTTAATCCCAGATGTAAATCTTTAATTATTTCTTTAATTATGCTCAGATTGCCTCCACCCTCCCACATCTTATATTTACTAATGGTTATTGTGTAACTGCCCCTGTAAATAAGAACCAAGAGGAAATCCAGGAAAATCTGAGACTGAACAAACATTTTTTTTTCATTCTGCTTGGATTCATATCCTGTACTGCCAATATATATCCCACCTTCCCAACCCAAACCTGCAATGTATCATTGTTTGAATCCATATTTAATGTTCCTGAGAGGAGTTGGAGTTTTGAAGGAAAATTTGGAGGGCATTGTCTTTCAGTTTTCACCACCACCTTTTAATCTGCCAGTAGAAACAAACCTAACCAGCCTATTCCACTTCCTGTTTCCTCTCCTTTCTCACCCTTTTAGAAAGGATTCATTTTAGCTGCCTAATGCTTCCTGCCTTTTTTTTTTTGCTGTTTTGCTAAAAACAAAACAAAAATAACAAAACATAGAGGCGCTTTGCCTTTGTGAAGGCACAGTTAAGGATGCTGTGGTTTTTTTTTAAGTGACTGGAGGAATCACATTTATCTCCCAAACAAAGGCACCATCTATGCCAGATTAGATAGTTCCAGCTATGCTGATTTTTTACCCTACACCTCACAAACAAAGGTGTGCTTTTACTCCACCCACCTAATTTAAATTGCAAATTGGTCCTTCTAGGTGTGCAGTGGAAATCCAGATTAAATGACAGACAAACCTGAAATTGCTGGTGCTCTCTGTGAGGAAGTTTCTCCATGCAGGAAGAATTTAAATGCGACTTTATTTGGGAATGAAACAAAGTGTTGATCCCATCACATACTGCAGGACAGTTGAGGGGTTGAGTTTTGTAGCTATTTCACTCTGCTCAACTGCTGGACAAGTTCTCATCAATTTCTTCATATTTCCCTTGACTAGAGTGCAACATTGATCCCATCAATGAAAAGGGTTGACTGAAAGGACCTTGTCCACTAACAGGTTAACCTACCAAGCTTGGGTGAGCACTTTTCTATAACAACTTCTTGAAAGTAACAGCCCAGGAAAAAAGCCTTGCTTAGAATTGAATCAGAAGCTGGTGAGTTAGAGAATCTTCTTGTGGGTATGCAAGAAAGTTTATGTAAGCTTTAGGAAGACCAACTGAGAGAGATTTGTGGTTCCCTAGGCACCTTTGAGACAGACTGCCATAAAATTGCATCATAAGTCATTGCACTTTGCTAAGGTATCCACTACAGTGTTGGGTCAGTGCTGAACAAAGGGAATTAGAGGGTATGGGGCTGTTCATATTACTAGAAGTGAGCGACCAAATGCCAAAATTCAGGGCTTTAACCCAAATACCGTAGAAACAATGAGGAAACAACATCCTGAGAAACTGGAGGCTCAATTATAAGAAAGAAATTCTTACAGCAAAGTTAGCAGAAAAATACCTATGGGGAAAGGATCAATGCAAAAAAGGAAGAGGGACTTTAAAATGATTATCTTGAGAGATAAACCCCCAGCAAAAAGGCAGGTTCTGATATAACAAAATGGCCCTTTGTTGAGACTGGAATAAAAAAGGGCTGTGTTTCAGCTGAGGCCCAAAAGGTGGAAAATGTGATTACTTGATACACTGTTATTGATAAAGTAGTGAAACATCAGTACCATATTGAAATACTAGTAGCTTGTCCTGCCGAGTCAATGTCTCTATGAAGAATTTTACAAAGCATGATAAAAGGAAAACAAATACTGTACTGGAAAGTCTCTGACAAATTAAGAATCCTCAGAGCACGTCAGAAGTTCCCACAGGTATTTTTTTTAAAAAAAGCTGGAGCTAATTACAAGCAGATTCAAATGAATATACAACAACAGACTTAAAATCTTAAACCCTCTCTGAGAAAGACAAATGGTAAGAGATGTTTATCTGAACCAACTGCAGGTCCTTGTCACCTCTCAGGATCACAGAAGGAAACTGCCCTACAAATGTTGAGGGGTGGAGGAGGCTAAAGAGGAGATGATTTATTCCAAGAAGCCTTGGAATAAATCCCAGCGTTACAGATAGATCTTCATTGTCCAGCAATCAGTTTAGGAAACATATACTGTATGTCTATTCACCATAAACATCATTTCTGTTGCATGCCATGCCATAATTTTCCATCTAGCTCACTGCTGTGTTCTTTTATTGGGGAGGGGGAGGGGGAGGTGTACTGAATGAGCTGCAATTACAGATCATTATCCATGCTTTAATAAGGAGAAGAAACCTAAACAAGAGTTAAGTCTTGATAATTCTTGATTAATCTGTGTTTGTTCTCAGTGAAGCATATAGAGCTGTTATTGAAGAGTACAAGTCATGTCTCTCTCTTTCTGCATGCCTGTCTGGGATAATAGGTACACTGATGTTCCTTGCCTTCTAATTAACCACTTTAGTATTCCCATTACAACTGATCAATTGCCAAATGTATTATGTCATATCAAAGATGAACATGTAACTAGAAACCTCAATTGCAAAGTAAGATTCTTATGTCTATCTTTTATATAAATTGCAGGAATGGTTCAAAAAGCTACAACAGGGCTGCAAAAGGTTTAGGGTAAACTATGGTCAATATTAGTGTAGGGTAAACTATAGTACAATGCTGAACAATGGCTAAAAGAGGCAGTGAAAGGGCTTCTGCATTAGAGGGAAGAGGGAAGAAGTTTATGAACCACAGTTGTTCTTGAGCCCTTAACCATGGTTATATTCACTAGATATTTTATTTTAATACAGTCCCATCCTGACTTAGCATATAAGGTGGCTAAAAGTAATCTAATACAGGTAAAACACAAAATTAGGACTACAACATAAAAATGAACACTTTTTTAGAGACCTCTGTTGATGCATTTTCATCCTACCAATAAATGTGCTGACTACCATTTACACTTGTCAAAAAACAGCCCAGGCTTTGTGTTTTTGTGAGAAGTGTGTATCTGATGAAAAGATTATCCCTTGCTTGGTGTCATTTTGTAAATGATGGTGAGCCCAAGAGGGTATTCTGTGTAGACCATCTTGACTGCTGTCATTGGTGCTGTCAACATTCAGGCTGCTCTTTGCTGTTTTAAGCTTGGCATCTCTTTTCCTACTGAAAAAGCAGGCATGGTATTATGCAGCAACATTAGGCCATTTCACCTTATCCCACATTCATAAACTGAAGGGGTTTTTTTCCCTTTGAAGAACTGATTTATTAAAACTGTGTGTGCTCCTCAAGCAAGGGAAGGGAGAGTGCCCTAGTTCTGACTTCTCTACTGTCACTTTAACCATGCAAAAATGTGTGTGTGTGTATACACACACACACATATGTGTGTGTGTGTATACACACACACACATATGTGTGTGTGTGTATACACACACACACATATGTGTGTGTGTGTATACACACACACACATATGTGTGTGTGTGTATACACACACACACATATGTGTGTGTGTGTATGTGTATATATGTACACACACACACATTTTTGCATGGTTAAAGTGACAGTAGAAAAGTCAGAACTAGGGCACTCTCCCTTTCCTTGCCTGGTTTAGCACACACAATTTTAATAAATCAATTCTTCAAAGGAAGAATATACTGTATATGGAGGTTTTGGCTCTTGTGGAGAGCCTACATGAATAAAACAGTTTCCTCTTTTCAGATAATGCGAAAGTAAATGGAGGTTTCCCCCTACTGTAGGTACAGTGTGAACATGTTAATAATGACTAAATAAGGCTTCTGTCTTTGCATGTAACATATAGATTGTTGTAACAAATGCATGTACTATCAACTGGGCAATAATTAATGACATCACAGCAGGTGGGAAAGGGGAATTGAAGTGTTTATTCCCTTCCTCTAAACCTGACAAATATCTGTTTTTTGAACATTCCTGACACTTATCCTAGGAAGACACGCCCCCCCCCCCCACGGGCACTCTTTAGTTTCACACACCTTTGGTTTGGTACATAAGAAAACTCAATTGAATTAGTGGATTTTTCTTCCTGGAATGACTTGTTAATTAAAAGAGAAGAAAGTGTGCATTCTTCAGGAATCCATTCCTATGATGAAAGTAAATTGATAAATTGCTGAGCATGATAGATAAGCATACCACTACACTGCATTGTAAGATGCTCTGCATTCCATACTCTTTTGAGGTTTTAGACACAATAAAGAACAAAAATGCAGTTGATTGATCCTGGTGGGAACTGGGCCACATTGGAGTCATTCCATATTACTTGTTGATGTCAAGTATCACCAACAACTGCTAGGTAGAACATTTGAGCTGTTCAGCCTATCATTTCAGTAGTCCTTGTGCATTTGATTTCTGTTTTATTTACAAGAATCTCTGTCTCTCCTTGGATACAGAGAAAAAAGGGTGCAAAACCTAGTAGAAAAGTACTGGTCTGAAGAATAGCACATCCTTCCAAGTCAACCTTATGTGAGACAACAGTACCGTAATAAAGACACCAAAAGTGTTGTCTAGTGGAGGTGACGCCTCCTGTTTCATGAATAATGCCATTTGCCTTCATGCCAACAGTCTGCACTAAAACTGTGGTGAGGACATAGTCCAGAGTGACATTGGTCAAGTTTTCCACTCTACTGGCATTCAACAGGGTTTGTGTTCGAAAAGAAGGATACACAGAGATTTCCCCACATTATTTTAATTTTCATTTACATGCATCTGGATTCCAGTTATGTCCAAGGAATATGTGGCTCTCCAAAAGTATCCCCTTCAAATGTCAATGCTGGCCAAGGCTGATTAATCCAAGAAACACATGGAGCCTTGACCTACCTGTGGCATAAGCCAGCATCTACGGGCACATGATGTGCTTTGAATATGTGAACAATAGAAACAAAATAAAAATGTATGACTTGTATAGTCACACAGCAGCAAGGAAGCCTGATTGCATGCATAAAGTTTAAAAACTTACTTGCATTTACAGCTATTCCATAAGCAACAGTCTTGTGAAATGTGATGTTCTTGTCTAGTTGTCTCCTGAGTATTCTTCTGCAACACTTGATGAGAAGAAAAATCTATTTTAAATTCATCTTCACTCAGTTTCATTACTCTGAGGCTATATTTAGCCATAACAATAAAATATAGCTTACCATTACAGGAATGAACCAAGGGCTCAGAAATGCTGTTTCTCTTCCTCCCCACTGGTACAGCCATGAGAGAAGACCAGAAGCTTATACTGTATTGATCTTAATTATGGCATGTTTGAATAAACCATGCTTAGTAAACTGTAGCAGGTGTGGCTCAGTCAATGATACCTAAGGCTATCTATAGTTTGTCCAGCTTTGTGCATAAGGCTAAAATGTGATTATTAAAAATGAAAGCATAAGTTTTCAAGTTATTTCAAGATGAGTTAAAAGAGAAGAGATAATTGGGAGTGCATGAGTTCGGACCTCAGCTACGACCATAGAAATAAATGGGAATACAGTACAGTATATTGTTCTGTCTCAACACAGGCTGAAATCAAGGTGTTTGGAAAGTTAAAATATTCCATTCTATTAACTGCAGCAAAATATGTAATGATTGTGTGTCAGTAGACCAATGGTGCAAAAGGTTAAAAACTGGTGTATAGAAATTATTATGCAGAAAGTTGTACAATGAATTAGACAAAGAAAGGGTCAACTAATTTGTGGTTTTCTTTTTTAAAAATGATGCTCAGATATACTGTTTTCATATCCATACAGTACCACAGGAAGCAGAGAGTGTTTTGCTTGTAAAATACATATTTACACTAAACATCTTTTATCACAGCCTGGAAAAGTTGTTGTTGTTGACTTCAGTTTTCATAATCACTCCGGCAGCATGAACAATAGTCATGCTGACTGGAAGGATTCTGAGAACTGTAGTTCAAAAAAGTTACTTTTCCAAGTGTAGGATTTTCTTCTTTATATCTCTGTATCAAACATATCGACAGCAGTTAAAAAGCAAGAGTCGTTCAACAAGTACTTACGAAATTTGTTCCCCTTAAGAAAGAAACAAGGTTCCTGCTGACTGGTAAGAGGATTAGCAGGCAGTTAAAGTTGAGGCAAGTGGCAGAAGCTCTTGCCCAGGCAAGTGTGGACTATAGAGGGAAGGACAAAAGCAATACAGATGTGAGAAGAAAAGAATAAGCCCTGAGAAATAGTGTGATCTGCCAAAGCAGTCATAATTTGATTTACTTGTGTGCTTCAGAGCTTTGTGTCCAAGATTAACTGCCCTCCAAAAAGGATGCAAGTAAAGTCAGGAGATGGAGCCAGATGGTTCGGGGATTCTGGGAGATGTAATCTGAAGGTAATTATTCCTGGAATTGGTTTCTGAGGGACATAACAAGACTTTTAAATGTTGGACCTGTTCATTGGTTGAAGGCGCAGATTTATTCTCCATTTAGGTAGGAAAACATCTTGGAAAAATGCTCTTAAGATGTGCTTCCCCAAATAATATATTAAAATATGCCAAACCATGCATTAGGTCCCTAAATCTGAAGGCAGGGTGTATTTTCCCTGTAGAAGGCATGGAAAAATCCCAAAAGGTCCTGCATGAGATTTGTGAGATCCGCGTAATGAACATTTACATGCCAGTCTAAATGATTTCTTTTATTTTCAAATTTCATACTATGGCATCAATATAAAATAATGTTTTGAGGCTTTTTTTGCATTTATAATTTTTTTGTGAGCAAAAATTGTTATGAGTAAATTTTATTTAATTTTTTGCTGGAAGTAAATTGAATGGTGCCAAAGGAGAGATGTGCAGAGTTTCTCCAAAAAATATATATCAGATGAGGGTTTCTTTAAAAATCACAGTGTTTGATCCCAAAACTCTTTTAGAAACCACTGCACAACTACAGTGTTATGAAGCACACTGTGATGGTGGAGCCAGTATGACATAACGCTCGTGTCGCAAATAGTTTAATTTATATCACTTAACATTCTTTTGGGTGTGGGATATTCAGTAAACTATGGGTGCTTCTTCTTTTTTTAAAAAGCATCTTATGTCTGGCAACACACCCCCCCCCCCCCGATATAAACACATAGCCTGAAATCCTGTGGCACAACTCTGCCAGGATTAAACAATGATGAAATCATCACCTGGTGATGCTAATCTTTATTTTTAATATCATTTAACCCTACACTCAGTGTGATATAGTGGCTAAAATAAGAGACTTTGGAGGCCTGGGTTTGAATCCCCACACAGCCATGGAAAACTCACTGGAGGTGTGTGACTGGTAAAGCCATGCTTAAATATCACACTTACCATAAAAGGCCTATAGTTGCTTTTAATATAAGTTGCTATAAATAAGTTCCAACTTGAAGGCACATAACAAAACACAACACACACACACACCCGCTTCAGGGTCCAAAGCTCCCTAAGCTTCCCTTTTGCCCTCAGGAAGCTTTTGGAAGCCTTGGGATGGAGGGTGGAAAGCCTTTCGTATCAGAAAAATGCCACTAGATTGCTAGTGGTGATTTCCCAATATTAAAGGCTCTCCCCCAATCCAGAGACTCCAAAAGCTTCCCCAGGGCAAAGGGGATCCCTAAGGAGTCCCAGAACCTAGGTGGGGGGTGGGAAGGGAAGAAGATTGGTAGGAAGCTTTAAATTAAATTGAAATAAAGATTAACATTGCTATGTGATAACAGCATCACCCTTCATGTCCGGCAGAGTAGCACCAATTGGATTTCAATCAATATGTACTGTACTTAGGTCACAAAAATAAAACAAATAAAAGAGGAAAGCAGTTTAAAAAAAGCAATTTCTTGAACAACCAAATTCTTCTGTACATCTTGTTAAATGAGTAGTGTAGCATTTGGTTTGGGGGAAAATTATACCAGAATATCATGCAAATCTGTTGGGTGGAGGTGTGCATAACAGTGTGGATCAACAGCTAAGTAAATGTGGAGGCATTTGACAAACATTTACTTACACCCAGCATTACCCTTGTATAAAGATAGGCATCATCATCTTCATACCAGATGTAGGTGTCAATAAACAAATATACATTAATTCCCAACCACAGTACCTAGGACAGAAGGAAGTTGACTTAGTCACTGATTTTTTTCAATATTGTACTAAGGCATTTTGAGAAATTTCTGTTTTTCTACCAGGTAGAAAAAAGAGATGGCAGAAAAGGACTACAAAGTACAATTAACAAAAGTCTACCCAGTATTTTTGAGGGAAAAAACACCACTTTATTCTACTTGATGAATGTCTTAACAAGGAAGGCTTTGTGCATATTTCGTAGATTGAAAAGGCAAGAGTGAAAGACTTACGAAAGATCTGAGACTTCCCACAAAAATCACAAATTTAATCAGAATCAGTGTCTTGATTATGAAATAGATACTTACAAATAACAAGACTGATAGGCTTTCATTCAAAATCCAATATACCATCTTGATTGTCCTGTGCTAATAACAATTCACTGCTTCCTTGCAAAATGAATTGAATTCTCTGGATCATCCCCTTGCTGCATAATCAACCCACTGATTCAGCAGCCTTAGAATATTCTAATTAAGGACGTCTTACAAGATGTCAATCTTCAAGGGGGACATGGTTTGTGATGGAGAAACTAATAGGCAGTTTCTGTCCAAATTATTTTGGATGAAAGTTTTATCCTAACCCGTGAACCCACTACTTAATTAACCACACTATTTGAAGTAACACCTTTAAAATATACTCCAGTTTTTCCTCTTTATAAGCAAATGTGGTACCACACATGGTATAACATTTGCTTGTAGCAAGAAAAAAATTTCTGGGGTTTTATATATGAATTTAATTTGTGGGCAGTATAAAAAGAGTGATGGGCAGAGCTCTGACCAAAGTACCAGAGTTTTTAAGCTCCCCTTAGCTGACTTAAGACATTTTGTTTCCTGAGGAGAATAGAAAGATTCAACCCAAACCCTTCAAACCCACAGGAAGGAGGCTGCTGATTCATCCTTCCACACTGGCACTGAGACCCTATCTTCCACCACTCTTGAGGACAACAGGGTGGCTAAATGTACTGCCTCACAGAGGATATTCCTCTGTTTTGAAGGATAGTCAGGGGCTTCTTCTATCCAGGCTGAGTGCTGTTTAAAAAAGAAAGAATTATGAGACCAGGAGAATAAGGGCTTTGAGTTGCCCATCCAGACAGCAGGTTAAGCATGTATTTAAAAATGTATTTTCAAATACACATCTATAACTCTAAAGCAGCATATACAAACCTGGGCAGGTTCTGATCCATTATAAACCTATTTTAAGCAAGTTCCATAAAAGTGTTTCTATAGACTTTCAACTGCAGAATTGTTGCTTTAATACAGACATGTCTTTAATTTAATTTATGACTACAGATGAATTTTACATAATATTAATATTGACAATGGAGAAATCAAAGTACTTTAAGATTTTCTATACCTTGGTTCAACCATCAGTCCAAATGAAATCAGAAACAAACTGAGATTTGGAAAAGCAGCTGTGATGGGACAAGAAAAGATCCTTAAGTGCAAGGTTGTGTTTCTGGAAATCTAAACCAAGATCACCTGTACAATTGTATTTCTGATTACTTTGTACACATATGAAAGCTGGACTGTGAAGAAAACTGAGAAGGGAGGATGCATGCCTTTGCATGAGGAGGAGTGGATAGAGAAGGGCAGTTTAGGGTTCCTAAGCTGTCCTTTATTTGCTCCGATCGATGCTGACTTTCCTTCACCTTAGATTGCTATTCTTAGGGTTACTTGTGTCCTTTCTCTCAATCTTCTCTTACTTCTCCAGAGATAACTCCTGAATATCTAGCTCAGGTCATGTTCATCCCGGCCATATGAACCACAGTTATATTGATTATAACATTATTTAAATTGATTTATAAATTCTTGGGTTCACGACACAAGGTGGAAATTGATTTTTTTTTAAAAGGCTGCAAAGTGAGTTTTTTTCCCAACTGGTTGGCATGGGCTTTTAAAAATATCTCACTATTAAATTGATTCAATTCAATATGGGTTTGTGGATGTGAATGCTACTGTCATTTTAATTTGTACTTATGTGGATTTTGGGAAGCAAGCAAGGTAGGGGGAGTGAGGCAGAGGCTGGCAAGAAGCAAGAAGGTGAATCAATATTCAAGAAATTGCCAGACTATATCCTATGTCCTGACATGCTCACTTTGCATCTGCAAAGGATATAGAGGATGGTCTGAGCCCACAGATTAAGCACACCAAGATAGGGAGGATTGTCTGTGCCTGCCCTGTACCCACTCTCCACCCACAGAACAGGCTCGCCAGGAAATGGAGCTGCTGTCATTTACACTCTGTGCCCACAGAGTGAGCCAGGACATGAATGATGGTGAGTGTGCCAGGAACCTTTCTAGGAGACGCTTGATTTATTGATGTATCACTTAGTAAAAAATAAAACAAAGCAAAAAAGTGTACTCTGCAAACAGAATGGAAATGAGTCAAAGCAATTTAAGTCAATGTGAACATGCCTACTGAGTGATATACCATATGACTACTGCAAATGTTAAAAAGTCAGGACTGGAATTGATGTAAATCAGCCATTTGACCGAGCCCTCAGTTAGCCAAAACTAGGACCTCTATCACCTTTCCTCTCTCAAGTGTATTTCTGTAATAAACATTTGTAGCTATTTTTTGTAGTGTTTTCACTTTAATTTTATCTTGCTTGGCTTGTATGACTGCCTATATTGATTTTTTACAGCCATTGTTGGACAGGTGCAAATGACACTGATGGAGCAGTGGTTTGGGAGTAAACTCTATTTATTTCATAAAAGACTATATTCCCTTCTATCAGCCAAATAATAATTTAGAGAAGTGCTAGAAATTCATTCACGAGTACTAGATTCTTTTAGAAAACTTGCATCTGGATTAGCTTTCTGCTTACACTGGTGAAGAGGACAACTGCAATGCAAGTTGTAAGATTTACTTTTAATTCCCTTGCTCTAGTTTAGCACTACAGTTATAGCTGTAGTGCTAAACTGATATACCACTAACTCAAATGCTTAAAGTATCTTGTCAGTTCAGTGCTATTTCACTTGTTAAATGCAAAAAAAAGAAAAAAGAAAAAAAGAGGAGGGATTTGAAAGGGATGGGTAAGAGGGTGCTATTTCACTTGTTAAATGCAAAAAAAATAGGAGGGATTTGAAAGCCAGTGAAAGGGATGGGTAAGAGATTGGTTACAGTGGCAAAAAAGGGTGAGAATGAATCAAGGCTTCATGATGTGTGGACTCTTGAAACGCACTTTCCTGGGATAATTAAACATTTCTATGTGAAACATAACAATGATTTAAATGTCAGGGTGCAGTACAGGCAATTTCAAATGAACCTGAGACAAACCTGTGTGTGGTACTTCCCAGATTTTTTAAACCTTCTCTGGACAAACTAAACATCCACTCTTTTATTCTCTATTCCCTTCCAGCCTGGACTGCAGAAGGTAGCCAATCATAATCAAATTGGGTTGAAGCAGATTATCCCCCCCCCAACTGTTTTAACAATTCTGTCACTCACACAGCACTCACGTGTCAATCAACTTGTTCCCTTCCTCACACAACTAGCTAACTTACCGATAATAGATTACAAGCATAAACAAAATAAACAGAAGGAGACTAAAATTGTCACAGAAGAGTTTTTGCTTTGCTGTAGAAATCATGCAGCATGGTTTGCCACCGCATTCTGTTGACAAGTGTACTAGTAAAGGGTGTGGTGTATTGTAGATCCTGGGGCAGAATTGGCTTCTGGACCTGCCAACGTGCCCTAGCCCCATTGGGCACTTTTACTGAACATGATCAGCAGTAAAATTAGTATCACCTAGGGGCAGTCACAGCAGACCTGAAATGTACTAGTATGGAAAACAATCTGTCTTTGATGAGGTATTAAATGTTCAGAAATGTAAAAAAAAAAATCATCAAGGACAAGACAAGAATTACATAATTTGATTCTTGAAAATAAACCTGATAAATACAGCACCCCACCAATAGCTACACCTAAAAGAGTTCTAAGCCAAGGTGTGCGTATGTGTGTGTTCTGCGCCATAAAGTTGGAACTGCCTTATAGCATGTGTGTTCTGTGCCACCAAGTTGGAACTGCCTTATAGCAGCCCTGATAGGGTTTTCAAGGTAAGTGAGATACTTAAGGAGTGGTTTTATCAGTTCCACTCTCCCAGTGAGTTTTCATGGCTGAATGGGGATTTGAACCCTGTTCTCCAGTGTCCTAGTCCCTCACTCTATCCATTACACCATACTGGGAATCTAAGCCAAGGAACCCGCCATTAAAATAATCACATATTTTTCACCAGTTCATACTTGCCTCCCTTTCCCTCCTCAGTTCCATTGTACTCTTTGTGTTTATTTCAGATTATAAAGCCATTGGAGTAGGGACCTGTCAAAACTTTTCTGCGAAGTGCCATGTATGTAGGTGGCACTGTAACATCATTGTTGTCATTGTCATCACAACAGCAACGCAGAAGGTCTAAAACTTTTTCAAACGGGTTGAGGGAAAGAAAAATGAAAAGGCAGCAAAGAAGAACAGCTTGAGTATGAGTAAGGTCGAATGCCAGTTCTTCATCTTATAAAAAAGAAAAGAAAAGAAAGAAAGCTCGCATCTGAATTAGCCATACTTCAAAGGAGAGAAAACTGTACAAGGCATTCTGCTTTGAAGTACAGCTGATCCAGACATCAATTTTCTAAAATGAGGTTCCCCCCCCCCTTTCCAAAAAGACATCTGACTGGGATTTTTCCAAGTACAGCAGAGTTGGAGGCTGGTTTGGGTTCCTAAACGTGTCTGTGCTTATAGCTGTACTTCAAAGAAGAATAACTCTGCATAGCATTTTTCTTTGAAGTACATCTGATCCAGATGTGAGTTTTCTAAAAGTATCTCATACAGTATTTGTGAATGAACTGATAGCACTTCTCCAAATTATTATTTGGCTGGTAGAAGGGAATACTGTCTTTTTAAAAATAAATTCATATGAATTGTGAGAGATGGACAAAGTGATAGGATATTATATGCAGGGATCTTGTCATTGTGATCCCTGAGAAACAGCTACTTTTTCTATCTAGTACAGGCAGTTTTCTAAACTTAACACAGTGTAAATAAAGGAATATACATTGAATACATGTGGAGTTGCCCATTTAGAGAAGAGGAGCTGCCAAGAGTGGGAGAGATTCTTAATGCTTCTCAAGGATGAGGTAGGGATTCTGGGGTTTTGTTGTTGTTTTAAATATAATTAGGGAAAGTTGTTAGGGGAGCCATTCTTCAGTTTTCAGCTGGCTTTGCAGGCTTTCTAGAAATGGAATCTTTTAAATGGAGGGACTAGCAAACAAATCTTGCCTCTAGAGCAGTCATCTCCATCCTTGGGTAGCTGGGTGTTTTTGAACATCAGTTTCAAGAAGTCCCAGCCATCATGGCCAATG